TCTTTTCCGGATTTATTCGATATCCCATCTCGAAACATCCAACGACTTGGAACTGTATTTAAGATCACAACTTTCAAGATATGTTCCATGATCACCATCTCTATGCGCAACCATATCTTATAGCTATAAGTGATCTAGGAATTTTATCTTAAGTGCAAATATATGATAAATGCTTACTCTTAAAATAAAGTAATGCCTTATTATTTAATATAATTCTAATAGATTGTATTTACAAGTAGAATATGTCCAATTCGATTGGAACGCCGGGTATCCTACTCTAACACAACTAACATTGCACAACCAGAAAACTAACCTAGCAATATCAGAAAACTACCTAGCAACATAAAAAAACTAACCTAGCAACATCATAAAACTACCTACAAACGATAAACAACAAACATAACAACGATAGACAACTAACCTTGCAACTAAATATCAATAACCTTGCAACTCAGACACAAAACCAATAAAACCCTGAAAATACGACTGATATACTTTATACATAGATTGAATTAAAAAAAAAACAAATACCGATAAAAAAAATAACCAAAACATATTACAAACACCGATAAAAATCTATTAAAACAAAAAAAAAAAACTAAAAACGAAAAAAGAGATTACAAACAAAAACAAACACAAAAAATACTCACCGATTAAGACGGGAATCTGCGAGGATAGAGACTGCGAACGATAAAACTGAAACACAAATTGAGACGAAAAGCAAAATGAAAATCGAGAGTGGAAGAGAATGGAACAGAAAGAAGAATCAAGTGCGAAAATGGAACAGACGATGAAGTGCGAAAATGAAACAAAGTGCAAGTGCAAAAAGTGGAAGAGAAGATGAAGAAGCGCCCGCGAAAATTAATTGATATAATGAATTAATCCTGAACGTTAGATTAGATGCGGAAAGAACGGACGAGATGCGGTCTCACGTCCGCATTTTAAAAAACTGTCCGCATTGGAACCAATCCCTATATATATATATTATCTCATAATTGTCTATATTTGTTTTCGGTTACCTTATTGTTCAAATTTATCAAATAATTCTCGAGAATTAAATTAAAAATTTTAAATTTTATTAAACAATATTTGTTCAAAGATCTTTCTTATTTTCAAGAGAATGCAAACTAATCTAGTGAATTATCATCAATATCTCGTGGCAAAATATTATGCAAATATGCTAAAATTTGATAGTCACATCACCTAGATTGTATAACAAAACAACCTAAAATTCAAACTTCATACACATACTAAATAAAATTCATACCACTTATTTTGTTCTTAAAATTTTCCAATTACACTTCTATGCAAACTAAATAAAATGTATATCACTTCAATTCGTACATTTCACATAAAAAAACCGCCCACTTTATACAATAAATTCTTACATTTATTAATGACAACGTATTTTCTAATAAAAACAAAAATGTCCATCATATACCTAAATAAAATCTTTCACGTTATACCAAAATCGGATTTATTAATATTGTCAATTTTATACCATAAATGAGTAATTAATTTCTAGAGGTGGGATTTTTGAAAAATTTCCAAAAAGTTTACAAAGTTTAATAATTTTAAAATTTTTAGGTGGAATTTTAGTTTTTATTTCAAATAAATGTAAACCTTTATACATATATATATATATATCATAAATATCTCCATTTAAATTTTGTACATATTTATGAATGGTATATTATATTTATGAATTTGGTATACTATGAAATATCTACATTCAAATAAATCAAATAATTCGTCCATAGCTGAATTTGTAACCAAAAGGTTGTACATGGTAAAAATCAATTATTTAAAGAGAATAAGATAATATTTAAGGTATGACACAAATAAATGGAGAATCCATTAACAAATTATTAATCTCCGAAAATTGAGGATAAAATAGATTTTATTTTTGGAGAGCATTCAAAAAATAAACATGAGAATTTATTGTTTTTTAAACGTGCCTTATCCTGTACAAGAGGAAATCAATCAATTCCCGTTAATTAAGCTAGCCTTTAACAGAAAGTGAGATGAAAAGATTTTAATTCCGTGAAAAGAAAAAAAAAATTCAAATTTTTAATCATGTTCCACAAATAGAAAGTCAAACAGTTGACTCAATTATTTTTGCTTTCCAAAATAAAATTTTACATCAACTTTTCTAGATATATATATATATATTAAATTAAAATATAATTTAAAATTTGAGCATAGACTGAATATAGATTCGACCTTCAAACCAATCGGATTCTCTAGTAAAAAAATCTAACTCCAAAGCAAAAATAAGAAAACACACTGCGAAACTTTGCCCTTCTTCCAAGAAATACCGTGAAACAGAAATATAATAAAAATATAATAAAAATTTAAAGAGACGAAAATAAATTCAAAACCCCAAAATCCGTCGCCCCTTTTTTTTTTTATTTGTTCCCCAAAACTTTCAGAAATCTCTCTTCCGGATCGTTCACTTCTAGTACTCATCCCCATAAACCCTTCTCCCCAATCTATTTGATCGAAGCCCTAGTTTGTTGGAATTTACCTACAATGGCTGCGGCGACGATGGTCAGTTCAGCGGGTGGGCTGCTTGCTATGCTGAATGAAAGCCATCCGGCACTGAAGCTACACGCGCTCTCTAATCTCAACGCTTTTGTTCACTGCTTCTGGCCGGAGATCTCGGATTCTGTGACTGTCATGTAAATACCCTTTTATATTTTTCTTTGTTTTCCTAAAATTACGGTATTGCTGATGAATTTTGTTTAATTTTTATGTTTTAAGGTTCTCAGATTTCGAATTGAGTGTTTTGGTTATGTTTCTATGGAAGTGTGTTGGAGAGTCGGTTTCATATAGAAAGCCTTGTAACTGTGGATGGTATTCTAGTTCTAAGCCTTGGAATTGTGGATGCTATTCTAGTTCTTTGTTACTACAATTTATAACTGAGGCATTATTAGGTTCTCGTAATTTGGATGAATTCGTGATGATCTGGTATTTGGTACCTTGATGTTTGTGGTTTTGGTAATAGCTTACAGTTCCTTGAAAGGAGGACGTTAGTTGATGTGAATATGGTATAATGTGCATTATCTTTAAATGAATCGAAATGATATATTTTTCAAGTTTCTTTATTCTTTGATGCCCACGGTACTAGAATTGGCTAATTGGGTTTCAAGTTAATTGAAAACCCTATATTTGATTTCTTTTAATCTGCTATTTTTATAATATGTTTGTTTTTGTCCCACTTGACTATTGTATCAGTCCCTGAATTATTGTTTGACGGTTTATTTAGGTAACCACTTGCATGCATTTTTTGTTTTATTATTGATAGATATGAAATTCTAGTATTACCTTAATGGTATTTAATCATTGATCATGGCTGCTTATTTGGTTTCAAGCTTGCCTTTTGTTTTCATTAACTTAGCTGTTGGCAATTGCTCTCATGTCCAACAGTTTGTAATATTTTACTTCTAATACGAATTGTCTGGTTTGTTTTGAGGGCAGAGAAAGCTTGTATGAAGATGAGGAGTTTGACCAGAGGCAGCTTGCTGCTTTGCTTGTTTCAAAGGTAAACTTGTCTTGTGCTTTATTCCAGTATTATTTTCTGCTGATATTGATTTTGGCTCCTTTTCTATGTCTATTGGGATTTACTTGATTGTCTACTTATTTGTCCTCAAAGAAGTAACTTTTTGAATTATGAGGTTAAGTTGATTCCAAAGAAGATTAAGCTTCATGAATCCCAAATTTAAATGAACACTTTTCTCCACTGTCTTGTATGATCAGGGTTTAGTTCTACATGTTTATTGTCTTCGACCTGAAGGTGGATTTTCAAGGAAGCATTTATGTACTGTACATATATTAAATAGGATATGTAAAACTTTTCTGTTCAGCTGCTTTAGGCTGGATTGGATGATGATGACTCTTCACCAACATCATTTAAAGCTCCTCACTTATAATTACATGGAAGCTAGTGAATTGTCATCATTATCTATCAAGTATTCTGGATTGCTAATTGCCTGAGTTACTAGTACTTTAAATATTACATATTTCTTCATTGGAAGTATTTTCAAGAAATTTCTGATTTGTTATGAGTTGTGTTAACGGCTAGTATGCAGTATCTCTATTTGGTGCAGATAACATGTACATCCTGTCACATGTCTATTTCTGCAAAACCTACTTGAAACTTGCTGATAACTACACCATACTACATCTTGTGACACTGACATCTATAGTTCTTTTGTTTGATTTCTTACTTGTCCATAGTATAAGGATGCCCGAAATAGTCGAGTTAGTTTGGTTTCCAACATTATTGTTGGGTTTTTTTTTTTTTTTTGGCCTAGCTTATTGGCTCTTGAATACATTAGTTTTTTGGATCCAATTAGCTCTTAAATTTGATGTGCAATACACTAAATAGACCAGATGTCTTGTGTGCAAACCGGCCTTACCCGAGGAAACACTCTGATGAAGTGTAAATCACCAATAAAGCTTGTATGATAGCGCACACACTATAATATGAGAGATAAATAAAATTAGTTTTTATTATACCTTTTAAAGCGTATGTCTAGACTTTTGGATTATTTCTGAAGCAAGATGTATTCAAATCCCGTAAAACTGTGGCAGACCCCTTTTGGTGAAGGAAGACCATCTACTTCCCCTAATTTTAGGATTATCCTGATACTTCTTGCTCGTAGGTCGTATAAGCTACAAGATGATTTAATCTGCTAGCTCGATTAGTAGTACCATCAGCTCGATCATCGTTAGGTCATCCAAGGACCCTTAATCGAGTTGAGTCTAGCTCTTTATCGCGTAAAATTGTCGACCAATCTGCTGCTAGGAGTCTCTACCAAGTTAAATACGCTATCACAAGCTTGATCTCTAGTTCAAGCGGATGAAGTAAATCGGACTAGCTACCAGGCCACTTTGGATTGCCACATAAATTTGTATGATATAATCTTCTCAAAGGTCTTATAAGATGCAAAATTAAGTTCTTTCTAGGATTGCATATGTTTCTTAGAAGTACCACCACCCATCTTCTCTGTATAATCTTCCCCCCCCCCCCCCNNNCCCAACACCTTCTTAACATTTATAACATCTTATAAGCCCAAAATCTATTTTTAACTGAACCTTTTAACAATTCTTATGAAAATTAAGACATCTTGTTTATCAGAGAAATAGGGGCTTGTAAGATGTTTTATGTATCCCTTTTGACTATTTGGTATGCTATAACAATTTCCTCACTTCGTTATACCAAGCTCAAGTATGAATATCTGTCCAGTTGATCTGAGTTCCATGGTTTTTGCAGTGATGATGTACTTTAGTGATGATGTACTTGTGTATGAGAATTTGAGACGTACCCTATATATGTAACATCTACTTAGATATCAGCATAATGTGTCTCTTGTTGAGTGTAAATTTTCTTTTATTTGGAAAACTATACCTAATGATAATGGTAAATATATAATCATAGGTGTATCCGTTTGGGATAGTGAGTGACATTTTGAGACTTTTTAAGTTTTTCAAATTTAGGAGTTTGGTGGTGAGATTTGGAGAGGGATTTTGTATACGTTTCTTTCTTTTAAAATCTCAACAAATCTTAGAAAGTCCTAATAAATCCCAGTGTCGAATAAGTTAAATACCATAGGATTTTGTAAGACTTTAAAATCTCAAACGAGAGTTTTAAAAGTCTTAAAGAGTCGTAAGTTTTTATATTCATTGTTTCCACTTACAGGTTCTTGTGTTCTGTCATCAGGTTTTCTACTACCTGGGAGAACTAAGTGACTCATTGTCATATGCCTTGGGGGCTGGTTCACTTTTTGATGTATCTGAAGATTCAGACTATGTTCATACTCTTCTGGGTAAGAATTATTTGCTCATCATATTTTCCTCCTTTTGTGTATGTTAAGCTGCAGTACTCTGTACTTCCCTTCTAATATTCTTGGAATTTTTTTGCTCATCCAATATCCTCCATATTTAGATGCTAAGCTGCAATAACTTAATGAGGATGAAATTATCTTTTGTGATGTAAGTCCGAGAGAACTGACTAGGTGGTCTTGACGAGAGTCTTCCTCTGCTTTGTTGCTTTTAGTAGTTTATATAACACTATTGTTTCCTGCAGCCAAAGCAATTGATGAATATGCCAGTCTAAGGAACAAAATGGCTGAGGCGAATGATGATTCAGCTGTGGTTGACCCTAGACTTGAAGCAATTGTTGAGAGAATGCTTGATAAGTACGCAAAATTTTCATTTAAATTACCAAACCTAGTACCATTGTTGCAAATATGATTTTCTATCACCTTCTCCACAGATGCGTAGTAGATGGAAAATATCAACAAGCCATAGGAATGGCCATTGAGTGTAGACGACTTGATAAGCTTGAGGAAGCTGTTATAAGAAGTGATAATGTTCATTCTACGATAAATTATTGCATTGACATCTGTCACTCGTTCGTCAACCGAAGAGACTATCGATGTGAGGTGACATTATTTAGCCTATTTTACAATCATGTTTCTATTAGACCATTTCTCATTTGCTTGTAGTTGTGCTCTTCCAGTTGATTAATGATTTGGTGCTACTCTTTTTAAGAAAAATTATATAGTGCATGTATAATGATGTTGGCCCATGGCCTTCCATTCATGAACTAATATAGCAGAAAGTGGGTATGTGGGAATTCAAATCATGGATCCAGTGTAACTAATATTTTATTTACTGAATTTTATCAATTGTTATATAAGTTATAGTGACATTACTAATGCATATTAGACATTCTTTATCCTTGGAAGCAAACACATCCTGGCATAGTACATAGTACATGCGTTCTGAATGAATTTTCACGAGTGACTTGTAGTTAGTAAATAATATTTAGCTCTAATTTAAGATTTTGAACTGAAATGTATAATCAGTGGTTTGGTTTCATGTGAATTGAGGTGAAATGATTTATCATTTCACATGTAAGAAGTGGTTGTTTTTTGATAGTACAGATAGTGACAGTTTCACATGTTTATGCATGTCATGCCTTTTCACACTATGATTTACTTCTTGCAGGTTCTCCGTCTTCTTGTCAAAGTATATGAGCAGCTGCCATCTCCTGATTATCTGAGTATTTGTCAGCGCCTGATGTTTTTAGATGAACCGGAAGGTGTCACTAGCATATTGGAGAAACTTTTGCAATCAGAAAATGTGGATGATGCACTGTTAGCATTTCAAATAGCCTTTGATCTTGTGGAGAACGAGCACCAGGCCTTCCTTTTGAAGGTGAGAGATCAGCTTACCAGTCCCCAGCCTCAGCCTTCAGTGCACGTGCAATCGTCAGAGACTGCTCATCCAGATTCTACAGCCAGTGGAAATGCAGTCACATCAGAAGATGTTCAAATGATTGATGGAGCTCAGGCAGACAGCAGCTTAAAACTTACTGATACACGGCAAGCAGTATATGCTGAGAGACTAATAAAGATAAGGGGAATTCTGTCTGGAGAGACTTCAATACAGTTGACATTGCAATTCTTGTATAGTCATAACAAGTGAGGCTATTTTCCTTTCATTGTAACTATTATGTTTATGTTTTAGCCCATTACTATTCTGAGTCAAAGTGATCAGAAGTATAATGCTGCAACTTGTGTTTGTCGTGCATTTACAGATCAGATCTTCTCATTCTTAAGACAATAAAGCAATCTGTTGAGATGAGAAATAGTGTATGCCATAGTGCAACTATATATGCCAATGCTATTATGCATGCTGGTACAACTGTCGATACATTTCTCAGGGAGAATCTGGTACACACCTAAATGATTAGCTTTTCTTATTGTTTTTGTTTCACTTATACGATTTGTTCGATTTCAGTTCTTTTAGCTAATACGTGTGTGTAATTTGTCAGGATTGGCTGAGTAGAGCTACAAATTGGGCTAAATTTAGTGCAACAGCCGGACTTGGTGTCATACATGGAGGCCATCTACAGCAAGGACGATCGCTAATGGCACCTTACTTGCCCCAAGGAGGGGCTGGTGGTGGTGGCAGTCCATACTCTGAAGGTGGAGCCCTGTATGCTCTTGGTCTGATTCATGCAAACCATGGTGAGGGCATCAAACAATTTTTGCGCGAGAGCCTTCGAAGCACGAATGTCGAGGTCTGTGGACTTTTTGATAATATCTTTTTCTTTTCCTTACCATATTTTTTCAATTAGAGAAAACCTGTGGCTAAAATGTGTTGAGCTGTTGAATTCTGCAGGTTATCCAGCATGGTGCCTGCCTAGGTCTTGGTCTGGCAGCCTTGGGAACTTCTGACAGTGACATCTTTGACGACATAAAAAATGTACTGTACACTGACAGTGCTGTTGCTGGAGAGGCTGCTGGAATTAGCATGGGTTTGCTGATGGTTGGCACTGCTAGTGAGAAGGCTGGGGAAATGCTCGCTTATGCGCATGAAACCCAGCATGAGAAGATTATAAGGTAAATCAAATTCTGAATTTGTGAATATGGGAAATAATTCTGAAAATTCTTTTCTGTCTTGAATGGAAAGTTATTTTTGTCAATTTATGTTGCGTATGGCTTGTAAATAGGGGTTTGGCCTTGGGGATAGCACTTACAGTATATGGCAGAGAGGAAGAAGCGGATACATTGATTGAGCAGATGACTCGCGATCAGGACCCCATAATACGTTATGGCGGCATGTACGCTTTGGCCTTGGCTTACAGAGGAACATCCAACAATAAGGCCATACGCCAACTTTTGCACTTTGCTGTGTCAGATGTCAGTGATGATGTCAGGCGGACTGCTGTACTTGCCCTAGGGTTTGTATTGTATTCTGATCCCGAACAGGTTGATGCATTCTTACATGTTTTTTCCAATTTTTTCTATCCGTCTTCCGTGACAGATCTGTTTTGAATCTCAAATGTTCTGAAGCTGTGTGTTGTTTACTTTTCTTCAATATGCAGACCCCTAGAATTGTTTCTCTGTTGTCAGAGTCCTATAATCCGCATGTTCGGTATGGTGCTGCACTCGCTGTCGGAATTTCTTGTGCGGGCACTGGTCTCAGTGAGGCCATATCATTGCTGGAGCCCCTGACATCAGATGTCGTTGATTTTGTTCGTCAAGGTGCTCTAATTGCAATGGCAATGGTGATGATTCAGATCACTGAAGCCAGTGATTCTCGTGTCGGTACTTTCAGGTATTGTATCTTATTTGGGCCGTAGACTTTGGGTTTGAATGGTGTTAAATGTGTTCGAAGTTTTCATCTCTGGGCAGAAATCTATGGAACATTTTGATTGTGGATAAGTTTTTACTTTTTGTTTTTTATTCTCATTTTAATATCTTATATTCTCTTCCTAATGGAC